GAAGCTGTCTTTGGGGCATGCCTTATTTAAGTTTGTGAAGTCTACGCATACCCTCCACTTTTCGCTGGGCTTTTTTACCAGGATCGGGGTGGATATCCACTTTGGGTAGATAGCTTCTCTGATGAAACCGCTGTAGCTAAATTTGTCTACTTCGTCTTTGAGTGCCTCATACCGCTCCGGGTTGAGGGCACGTATTTTCTGCCTCTGTGGGGGGCACAGGTGGAGTTGATGTTAAGATGATGGTAACTGATCCTTGGATCTATTCCCACCATGTCTTCATGCTTTCAAACGAAGACATCCAAGTTCCTTTTCAGGAAGCTCACCATTTCTTCTTGTGCTTCGGGGGACAGTGCATTTTCTATTCGCAGGACCTGATTGGGGTCCTCTGGGTTGGCGATGAAAGTCTCAAGTTCTTCCACTGGGGTTGTATTTGGCTCGGAGTCGATGATCCGAGGATCTAATTCATCAAGAGGGTGCCCTTTCTCAGGGGCTTCTTCCATGTCGACGTCTTCCCCCTGTTCGGAAGTATGCCCTTGTTCAGGGGCGTCGATCATTTTCACGTCCAAATTGGGTTCGCTGGCAACTTCAGTTATGATCACATTAACAGTTCGGGGCTCCGATTTTCGTAAAGAGTTTAAGTAACAAGCCCTGCAGCCCATCTGGTCGCCTCGTACCGTGGCAATCCCATGTTTAGTCGGGAATTTCATACTCAAGTAATGAATGAAGGTGACAGCCCAAAGATCTTTTAAGGCCGGTCTTCCCAATACTCCATGGTAGGCCGATCTATGGTCGACCACCAAGAATTCAATGAACTGTTGGGCCACTAGAGGAGCTGAATCCATCTCAACGAGCAGAGTTATCCGCCCTTGTAGGACGATGCTGTCTCCAGTAAATCTGAACAGTGGATCGGTCATGGGGATCAACCCATGTTCAATTTGCATTCTGTCGAAGGTAGAGCCGAATAGTATATTCACCGAACTGCCATTGTCGACAAGCATGCGTTTGAGCCCATTTCTTGCCACTACGGCTCTCACAACCAATGCGTCACAATGGGGGTGGTGAACTCCTTCTACATCTTCCTGGAAGAAGGTGATTGGGGCCATCCTATTGGCCACTTGGGACTCATTTATAATGTAGGTAAGTATTGGCGGGTCCTTTGCTTCCCTTGTGTAATTCCTTTGGACGTTCCTGGTGTTGCCACCGATGTGAGGTTCCCCAATGATCGTGTCGATCTTCCTGATGACTTGGCTCCCAGAAAATGGGGCCTGATCTCTCTGTCTGGACTGTCCTCGATCTCTTGATTCTCTTCTCTAGGGTGACTATTCTCTATGCCTTCTCTCTCCCCTGTTCGGGGAGGCGGATCTGCGAGGATATTCGTTCCTCCTAGAGGGATGTGGGTTACTTTGATCCGGGAGTCGATTAGCATCTCTACACTCGCTGGTGTCATGCCCATAGAGTTGGTAGAAAGTGCAAAAAATTGCTCCTTCCAAGGGCCTGTTTGATCGCTTCTTTTTCTTCTTCTTACTATTATCGGTTCCTCCAGATGGCCCTGTTTTGCCAGGGAAATTCTCGTATGCCAACACCGGGACTGCATTTAGCGTGGCTGAAGCCAGTGCCTGTCCGGAGGTGGGAGCTATTGTATGACCTGCTTGAGTCCATTGCTGAGTGATAAGGTGTGCTGCGATCCTCGACCTACGTGCCTCTGAGGCGAAGGGAGTCCCTGCGCTACACGATTTCTGTGATCAATGATCTCTCCGCTGACGATCTCAACTCTCATCATTTCTTCCAGCTCGTCATAAGTGGTGGGATTTTTGTTGCGCACATCCCTCCAGAACAAAGTGTTCATGTTGAAGCTGCCTTTAAAGGCTGAAAAGGCTTCTCTATCAGTGACCTGCTCGTAATACGTGATTTCGTCGGTAAACCTAGCGAGATAGCTTCTTAGCGTCTCTCTAGGGGCCTGCTTCATATCTTGCAGGCATTGCACTAGGGCCTCTCCTTCTCTGCGTGAGAGGTATTGGTTCAAGAACGCATTCTTTAAATCCGGCCAACTCCTAATGCTCAGGGGAGAAAGTCTGTTGTACCACACGTCAGCAGCTCCGCTCAAGGTTAAGTAGAAGGCTCGGCACTTCAAAGAAGGCGAGGCTCTCCTTAGGCTCATCTGTGTCATGTACTTGGTGGGGTGCTTCTCCGGGTCCCCCTTTCCTTTATACTTAGGGATCTTAGGGGGCATGAAATTCGCATGCATTGGAAAACTTCGAATTTTCTTTGAGAAAGGAAGGTTATCATCATCATCGTCAATTTCAAAGGATCGATAAGGTTTATCTAACCCTTCATCATCTTGAATGTTCTGGGGAGGTGGAGGTGCTTCTCCTCGACTCCCCCAATCAACTAAGTTCCTTCTCTCCTTCCCATTTCTAAGAGGAGGAGGTGCTTGATCTTGCTCCTGTTCTTGCCGAACTGATCTTCATACTGAGTGGACCCTATTACTAGGGTCCTGCCCTATTCGATCGAAGATGCTGACTGACTTTTGTGCTTCATATTCTTGAGGGAAATTATCCCCCAATTGTGGTGGCTCCCTTGCAAACAGGATGTGGCTTCAGCACCCACTTCTCTTTCGAGGGGGCGCTCTCTGTGCTGGCTCACATGGCCTTGAGAACAAGATGCTGGGGTTTCCTGAATTGGATAAGATCCTTGGGGCATTTGAGAGCCCTGGTGACCTCGGGCTTGCATGAGAAGTTCATGTATTGCCGTATTCTGGGCTGCGATGTCTCTCATGCCTGCAGCTATTTGAGCCATTCCTTCAGTGAGCATGGCTGTCCTTTCACCTCGGTGACGGTGGTGATGGGGTCTCTGGTGAGTGACATTGTTACAGAGCACATCTTCTTCAGAGGCCTCTCTCATAGGATTTTCGTCTTCATGGCTGTAACTCATCTTATGTCCTTTTTCAAGGGTGATAAGAATTTGGATTATAACTCGAATTTGTTCTTCTTCAAGAACGTGCCCTTTTCAGGGTAAGTCACTGGTTTTTGGGTGGTTTCTCCGGTGGAAAATGCAGAACTTTGAATGGAAAGTTTCCCACAGATGATGCCAATATGTTGACCTCGCAAATTGGACCCTCTACATGGCCAACCGATAGCTAATCCACGTATTCCTCCCGGCGCACAGTCAACGCACGGTCAGATGCACACGGCTAGAACCAACGGGGGTGGTGGCGACCGTATACACTCCGACGGTTAAGTTAGTCTCAGGTGGTCGGAACAATACCAAGGTTGTGCAAAGTAGAGGGGAAGAGAATATGTATTTGCTTGTTATGGAAAGTTATGTTGTAAGAGTTTCATTACCTTTACCTCTTGTTAAACCCTGGGTATTTATAGATGATAAGAACCGTTGGATGTGGGACACGTGTACGCATATGACGGTGTGAGACGTCTGCTCATAGGCGTCAATCGGCCGCGTCTATAGAGTGGGCGGGTAATTACTTCTCCCAAGTTGAGTTGACATAAAGTTGATACGTCACATCGACTAGGCTCATAGAGACGTCAAATCAATTGAATCTTGGGGGCAAAAATGATCTTGACTTAGATCTCTTTCTCAAATTGGCAGCAGATCCTTTAGCAGAGAACTTCGATTTCAGGGGCGAGGGAGGCTCGACCAGTTCAGTAGATTGTCTGTGTCTTGCAGTGTGTTAGCAGATGATGATCCCCACTTCGGAACCACTTCGGATGGGTGTTGCACACCTTGTAAGACGCGGTGGTAAACTTTCCGAAGTGTTTCAGATGGGGGCGTAACAGTTGGAATACTTTATTTCAAAAAACTTCTTAAGGTTGTAATAACTCATTTGGCACACGACGACGACTTATCACATTCAGATGTTGAAGAAGGTCCTAGGATTCAGTTATTCACTGATTCAAGAGGCACATGATTTGGGTGGTCAATGAATTTTTTAATTTTTTATCCATATTTCTATTAGAAGCCGAAGTATACAACCTTTTTTTCTTTCTTTTTTTATAATTAAAATCAATGATTTGCCAATATTAACTTCAAAAAGTTAGAGTCATGTGTTTTTCACTGCAAGATCAACAGAAGCCATCTATTATGATCTAGGGTATTCCAAACTTAAAAGTTTCCAACCATAAATGTCAAGTAATCGTTGAGAACTCAAATGATAAGGACCCCGAAGCAATTTTTTTCTATTTTATTAGGTTGAGCGACTCCATGAACCTCTTTACTTCCCTAATTACTAATTTACTTTCAAATCACTTTCATTAAAAGAATTTCCCCCTTAATCAATCAATTACAATCAAATAATGATAATTTCTTTATATTTGTATTTTCACACTTTTCAATACTATCACATTCAATTTTGTAAATGGATTTTGAAGCCTTGAGCGTCTGCACGTCTAATTGTTGGACAAATAATAAATTTATTTTATATTATTATCTTCTATAAGAATTTATATTTGTCATAAAAAGATGGCCACTTGAACTTGTTAGTACGGGTGAAAACATCTCTATCAATTTAGTAATAACATGCACTACAACGGGTGCTTAGGGCCCTGTTAGGGAGTGATTTTTCATTCAAAAAAATTTGATTTTTTTATCGTTATTTCATTATTCCAACTATAATTTTTGACTTCTTCTATCACAAATAATCCCCACTTTTTTCTTAACGATCAAAAAATCAATTCTCAAAATTTCTACCAAACAGACCCTAGTACAAGCCCATACTGCTATATGGACTCAAGTGTTTAATATCAATTTAGGTAGTGCAAGAATTGATGCAAAGCACTTATAGCGTTACGTATTCTTCAAAAAATTTATTTTTCAGAAATATGATGGCATCTAGACCGTGTTCAATTTTATTAAAAATTAATTTTTAATAAAAATTAATAAATATGTAATTGAAAATTTGATAAAATATCAATTTTCTAAAGTTAAACCAAAAGCGCCAATTAAATCACTTCGACCCCAGCTTAATCAATTATTTATCCAACTCCTAATAGAAAAATGCCACATATGCATTCCATTACATTAATAATTCGGATAAAGTATTGATCTAATTATACAATCCTATTGATTAAGATATTACAAGCTTACGGATCAGATCCACATCATCACATCGCCTTCTAACAATTTTTAAATATTTATACAAATTATTTAATAAAAAACACATCACTCACGTAGTACGCCGATCAGCGAAATCGGAGGCGAGCCTTGATGCAATGGCGGAGTGATACATATCATGCGACGACGTATTAGTTGTCATCCTCCGGAGCTGCTTTGCCTTTTCCTCCGTGAAAGATCCCGGAGTGAACCGGGACCTCGCTTCTATCGGATCCGGGTTGCTCTTCTTATAGTCAGACTGTAAATAGTCCGGCTCCGACGAAACTCCGAACAGCGGAGCCCACCAGTGGTACGATGAAGATTTTTTAGCTTCAGGTTTCCGGTCATCGGCGCTGATACTAGCTCTAACGATTGTCAGTGGCCGAAATGGTAACAAACCGGACGCCATTTCAGAGGTAAACGAGTAAACTTCTGAATCTGGGAGTTTCTAATTTACAATTTATGAAGATTTGATTTGATTTTGACTCTTTACTTTGGGTTAGGGATTTAAATGAATTCATGGAAAACAGAAAAGGGTGTTATAAAGAGGTTGCAGGGAAAGTTGGTACCTTGGTAATAAAAGTCATCAGATGAGTGCGTGGGCTGTGGGAATTGGGGGTTTTAAAGACAGAGTTAGTCACTCACCTATTAGAGTTGTTTCATTTTAGTCCTGATTTGTTTAATTGTAAGTTAATAATTGAATTTGTTGACCTTCAAAATTTGATTAACCTAGCTTCCAATGAATCCGTTGTTACCTTTCCATCTATGCATAAATAAAAACCTTTAGGAGACAAAAGCCTTCATTTTTAATTTAGGTTCGACGATCGTTTACATTTCGTCCAATAAGGACAGTAATGTGGTTGGCAGTTCCCCATCCTATTTAATGATACAATTATATTTTTAATTTTTACTACTTTTCTTGTTTTTCTTGAGTAATTTGAGAATTGACAGATAATGTTGGATTAAATTGTTTTTAAACAAACAAGAATTAATTAGAACAGTTTGGTTCGCCAACCTTATCTGATATCATCCAAATCGTTCTGAAAGAATAAATTAACAATATAATGTCATTTCTTATATAAATAGAAAGAATAAATTCAAAACTGATCAAACTCCTTCAATTAAAAGTTTTCGTCAAACTCTTCATTCATTGTTTTCAAAAGATGAAACTAAATCTTTATGGGAAGAATTTTATGATTCTTATGAAGACACGAGTTTTTATGAATTGACATATTTTAAAGTTTTTTTAAAAAATCAGTTCAAAATACTGATGTTAACAAGAAAACATGGAAAACTCTTCGGGCCAAACCTTTCAATCTAAACATCATCCTGTGCAAGAAATAGTTGTTTCTCATGGAAACATTAAAATATTTGTATCTCTAATCAAACAACTCCCAGCTAATAGATAAGAGGAATTTGACACTACAGCAAAAGATATAAAAAATATTCAATTTCAGAATAATTATACTTTATATTATTCTTCAATTTATGTGTTCTCAATTATCTAGAATTGAAGCCAATTCTAATACCGAGGCATCTTCATCTAAGAAAGATGAAAAAACAATCTCTTATTTTCAAACCAATAGAGTCGAAATTAGGATCATCCAAAAAAATTAATACAATTGATGATCTTGATAATCTTGAAAATTAATTTGTTGAGAATGAGAAACTTTCATTAATAAATCGAAACGTCAAAATTCAAATCTTCCAAATTATTAATCTCGTCCTTCTTATTCTGATATGTTATACGAGGAGAAGAAAAAATATCAAGTTTCCTATAATAGAGATGAACTCATTGAATGAAATCTTGATGATATGACAGAATTTCAAATTGTCAATTTCCTCGAAAATATGGCAGCCTGCTATGCTGCTTATATTAGTAGAGGTACTTCTGCATACATTGCTTTGTCAAATTTAGTTCAAGGTTTCATTGGACAATAAAGAACTGGTGGAATAATTATTTATCTACTGAAGATAGGAATAGTATTGAAAATGCACTAGATTCTCAAGTGAACAGTGACATGTTCAATATTCTTATTTATTAAATACTCACATATTTTATTGGAACTCCTACTCTTCTTCAAGATAGATCTTCTGAGATTCTTGTGAATCTTAGTTGTCCAACAGTTCACCATTTTAGTTGTATAAATATGTTCCATGAAGATTGCAATTAATCTTTTCCAAAAGAAAATTTATTTCTTGACTTCCTCAATTCTTTGCAGAAAGAATTAGAAATTCAATTAAACTTAAACATCATAATACTATTCCTTATACTTTCCTAACTTATGGTGAAATTATTAACATTGTCAATAAAGAAGGTTAGCATTATGCAATGATCTCAAACTCAAGGCCAAATTAAAATCAGAATGATCTGAAAGGAGAATGGAATTTGGATCTTTCTGTGCACAATATGGTTTTGAAAAAATAATTCATTTTTCTTCAAAGTTAAAGAAGAAAAAATTTCCTTCTCGATATTTTCAAAAAGAAAAATCTTTTCAAAAATTCTATCCTTCTAAATTTTTAAAAAGAAAGTTTTCAAAGATAAAAATTCAAAATCTTCGATTATTGCTTCTTGGAAGTGTAATCAAATAGGTCATTATTTAAATAAATATCCTATGAAGGAAAAATTAATAATCTTCAAATTGATGAAGATATTGAACTTCTTAATTTAATTAATTTCAATTCGGATGATGAATCTGAATCTGATCTTGAACATGTATATCAATTTTACAAAAACTCTGATGTTGAAACTAATTCAAATTTGTCTTCATCTTCAAGTCAAGATAAATAAGTTTGTGGTTGTAAAACCGTAAATGTTCTTACAAAAGAAGAAGAATTTATTTAACAAATAATTGAGAAAATTGAAAATCCTCAACTTAAGAAAAAGTTTTTCTCTGCTTCCTTTAGAATCCATAGAACCATTTAATATGCAAAATGTATTAAACAGGTTTAGAACTGAATATTCAAATGTTTCAAAATCCTCTAGTTCTGATTAAAATCAGAAATCAATATTATAATATCTCAAATTTCTACCCTTGAAAATCAAGTGAAAGATGTTCATATGGAAGTTGTATTCTTCAAAGCTAAAGAATTAGAACACGAATACAATTCTAATAAAGAATCTAAGCAAAAATCTTCTTCAGAATCCTCTTTCAATGAGGATACTTCTCATGCTTATCATTCAAATAATCATACGTCTAACGATGAGAAAATTAATGTTATCAATCGTATTCAACTTCAAAAATGGTATTCTACAATGACTATTGTAGTAAATAAAGAACTCAAATTTACTTCTAAAGTTATTATTGATTTTGGAGCTGATCAAAATTATATTAGGGAAGCATTAATACCTACGAAATATTTTGAAAACACTACTGAGCGTTATTTATGGTGCTAGTGGTAAAAAGCTTAATATTCAATATAAATGTTCTAAAGTTCATGTTTGCAATTCAAATATATGTTTTAAAAATATATTTTATTTAGTAAAAGATTTAAATCAAGAAGCAATTTTTGGTACACCTTTTATAGTCCAAATCTACCATTTTCAAGCAGAAGAAATAGGATTAACTACAAAAATTTTTGATCAACAAATATTTTTCAGATTCACAAATCCTCTTCCATTTAAAGATATTAATTCTTTAAAAGAAGCAATAATTTAAAAAAAATTGTCAATAATATTATTAATAAAAAGAGTGATATTCAGTTTCTGAAAGAAGAAATTAAATTTCAAAAGAATTTAAGAACAATTGCAAAATTCTTCAATTAAAGAAGAAATAGCATGTTTTCAAAAACAAATTGAAAATGAAATATGTTCGACTATTCCTAATGTTTCTAGAATGGAAATAAACACATTATTTCTCTTCCTTATGTTCATGATTTTCATGCATCAATGATTTATACAAAATCTCGTACTATTTAAATGAATAAGGAATTACTTGATTTTTGTATCAAGAAAATCAATGACTTATTAGAAAAGAAACTTATTCGCCCAAGCAAATCCTCATGGAGTTTCTTGGCATTTTATGTCAATAATTTTGTTAAACTTGAACGAGGCACTCCCTGACTCATTATCAATTATAAGCCCCATCAATAAGGCTCTTCAATGGATTCAATATCATTTACCTCAAAAGAAATATCTATTAAATAGATTACTCAAAGTTGTTATCTTTTCTAAATATGATTTGAAATCTAGATTTTGACAGATTAAAATCAAAGAAAAAGATAGGTACAAAACTGCTTTTAATGTTCCATTTGGTCAATATGAATGGAATATTAAGCCTTTTGGTCTCAAAACGCTCTTTCAGAATTCAAAATATTGTGAATGATACTTTTAATCCGTTTCAAAATTTTATTATTGTTTATATAGATGATGTTCTAATATATTCTAAAAGTTTTGAACAACATTTCAAGCATATTAATACATTTATTCACTTCATTAAGAATAATGGATTAGCCATTTCTGCTAAAAAGATTGTTCTTTGTCAAACACGTATAAGGTTATTAGTCATTATATAAACTTAGGAATACATGGACCAATTCAAAGAAGTTTGGAATTTGTTGATAAATTTTCTAACGAAATTTAAGATAAAACGAGTTTGTAGCGCTTTTTAGGCCGTGTCAATTATGTGACTAATTTTGTCAAAAGTATATGTCAAATCTGTGCCCCCTTCTTTTAAAGGCTACAGAAAAATTAATTACCATGGAGTAATGATCATACTTTAGCAATCCAAAAAGTCAAGATAACTATTAAAAGTATTCCCTATCTTTCAATCTTAGACCCCCCATCGACTCCATCATTGTTGAGACTGATGCATCAAATATAGGGTATGGTGGAGTGTTAAAGTAGATTCCAAAAGAATCAAATCAAGAACAGTTCATTAAGTTTCATAGTGAGGTATGTTATAGTTTTATGTGTTTCAAAATTTCAAGATGATTTAATTAATAAAAAATTCATTTCAAAAACTGATTGTAAAGAGAGTGAATGAATTAGGATGATATTTTATCAAAAAAGAGAGTGAGAGTTCAAAGAAAGAAAAGATTTTAATGGCTTCTTCTAAAACTTCACTCCAAAAGCAAAGTAGTCGTAAAAAGATTTCAATACCATTATTTTCAATTGATGATTATATTCAAGGATCATCATCAAGAAAGGAAGAACAAGGTTTTTCATCTTCTCAAAATACTCAAAACACTATCATTTCTGTAAGTGTTATGCCCTAGGTCCAATCAACCTTAAACATAAATACTCATAATATATAATTAATGCAGTTTAATGACAGATCTATTATTTCATTAATATACAATTAAATTAAATAATAGAGTTCGTAGATTTGAATCTTCGTAATTTGTTAATCACAAGGAGTTATGATTGTGAGATACAAATTACATATGATTGAATCTTAAATCGTCTGTGGTCGTATGTAATAACAAGATACGAATATTGTTATTACGGATAGACCATCACGTGTGACTTTTCTTACTTGTGAAATAAGTAGCTGATCTCACAAGTTAAAGTGTAGTGACATTTAAATGAACATGTGTATGTTTTGTTGTAGAATAAAATATTGGAGACCCGCCTAGAGATTTCACATGTATAACTATCTGAGTGTCAGTGGTTAATCTCTAACGTTCGAGAGTGGGATTAGTCCTTTGACTTGAGATCG